ACCTACATTTAAACACTTGGAAAACTTAGTGAATCCATTTTAAATTAAATATTGTAATGGTGATATATATCATATCACCTTACACATAATTTAACGTTTTGTTGAGAAATTAGAACATATACTTATTGTAAGACCTGATGGATTGATTGTTGTGGTTTGGATAGTTAGCTTTAAAATTGATCACTTTCGGACGCTAACTGAAATGGCTGTTTAAAGATGAATGGAAGTGAATTAACAGCTGACTTCTCAAATATTTGATTAACTCAAGTTACGTGACGCCATGAGGATCATTGTACAGGATTATTCATAATGTAAGAAGAACCAAATTAAAGATCTGAATTGTAAATTTCTGTACAGCTATGGTAGTTCTTCGGTTCAATTTTGACTTCAACGAGCATGTCATGTAAATCACCTATATTCAACCATGGCTTAAGCACTCTTTCTAATAATGGAAGCCGTTAGAATAATTTATAATCTTCCTCACAATCTTTGTTTCTATAAAGTAAACAATTATCTCCTACATTTCTCCCAAAACTTATTTATTTCTTCTACCTCTAAGATCAATATAACCTGACAGTGCTCGAAATTAGTCAAAATCATTGTACCAAATATGAACAGAATAGATCAGCCTCGAGAGGGGTGTTGTTTTACTTTGGTCTAGAAGAAAAGAATGCTTCGTACACAAAGAGTTATATTGATACTGTCCATTGAAAACCTGGGTAGTGTTCAAGAAAGGAGGAACAAGAATACAGCAATTTGTAATAGTCACACATTATGAGAGAAAGTGAAGGTACAGTCTGAATATACCGAAGCAATCAAGAAATTGAATTGGGGCATTAGAGTTGGAAATCGAAAATAGTTGTAAGACAGTCGAAAAGCTGCAAGAGAAGGAAATACGAGAAAATTATGAAATATAGTGAAGAGACTTGCAGGAAAACATGAAAAACTGGAACGACCAGTGAAGAATAAACTATACAAGTCAATCACTGGAATCCAGAAATAGTGGAACAGGTGTGTATATCACTTCGACAAAAAACCCAAATAGTTCGGCTCCATTAGACCTAACGGACGTCGAAGCATCACACACAGAAACTATTACAAATGTGATACAACCATCAATAAAAACAATCAACACTGACGTCACACAAATCAACTGTGGGAAAACATCAGAAACGGGCAATATATCAGCTGAAATACTGTAGTCAGACGAACACGAATCTGCAAACATGCACAACATTACACTCAGATTTGAGAGGAAGAACACGTGTCGACATAATGAAGAGAAGTATATTTCATTTAGATATCAAAGAAAGGAGATGTGAGCAAGTGTGAAAACTATGGAAGCATCACACTACTATCAGTACGAATAACAGATTTCAACAGAGCGTTGTTGAGTCGAACGAAAGATTCAGTAGACGATAAATTCCGAAACCCACAAGCTGCATTCCGTAAATATAGATCGTGCACCGATCAAATCACAGCACCATCGAATATCGTTGAACAATCAATTGAATGTAATTCGTCACCATATTATCAACTTCATTGATTATGAGAAAGCGTTTGACAACATGGATGAGGGAACCTCATGGAATATTTCCCGATTCTAAAGTGTGCCTGAGAAAATCGTTACCATCATACAGAATTCATACATTGCAAACAGTTATATGGAGATCAGCTGACAGATGCATTTCAACTGTGAAGTGGAGTCAGAAAGGAGTGCTCACTCTCTCTCTCAACAATTCTCTTTCTCCTGATGGTTGACTGGATTGTGAGGAGATCTACAATTCACGAAACTCACAAAATACAATGGATAACTTGCATGCAACTAGACGATTTGCATTTCACTGATCACATATCTCTCCTATCCTATACACAACATCACACACAGATGAACACAATCAGTGTAAAATCAGTTTCTTTAGAACTACACATCAACATTCATAATGATAAATCTAGATACTTAAATACAACATAGTGAGTACCAACTAAATCACACTCGATGTTGATGTTCTGAAATATGTGAAATTTTTTACACATCTGAACATCATCAATACCATCAGTAACAACGAAGTGTAGTGGGGAAGAAACCAGGTTGTATATGAAGAGGAAATTAGGAGAAGACATTGGAGATCGATGTGCTACAATTTACGGAAATAATGAAACTGGATCACGATGCATGCTCTAATTTTGAATCCTATGGTGTAAATGAAAAGTGGCAGACGAAAGAATATATTGTGTCAGGAATTATGGGCAGACGTGAAAACAATGAATAAAAGCTGGTCATAGTTTGAAAAGATTACCTAGGATGGAGTTCCATAAAGTATCTTTGTGGGTTGTCTGTGCTCATTCAAGAAGAATAGCATGCTTAAGTAAATAAGTGAATACGTTTTTAACGCTTTTAATAAATTTTTTAGTTATTTTTTATATTTTCATGGACTTGAGAACATTTGATTAAAATATATAACATCGTTTAATGATGCGACACTCATCCATTCTCATAAAAACTACTATGCATAAAATTAGCTTTAATTACGATTGTGTAGTCTAAATATGTGGGATTATCAAACAGAAATTTTCTTCACTGAGATGTATTCATTTTGCTTTCGTTGGTTGTTTTCGACACTGAAGTAACCATAATTTTCGGCCTTATCTCTTTCAAGTGTTTTCCGAATTTTTCAAACTTTAAGAATAGATTGAATATTGTTGAATTGAAAGAATAAAAATGTATAAACATGATACGTTTGTGAAAGCATGATGTTTCATTTTTCTTCCAATTCCGTCAATGGATTTCAAACTTGATTTTCGCTTTTTTAGATGCTCGTTAACATATTTTAAACTTGTACAATTTTCACCAATGAAACATTTGGCTAAAACATGAATAGCAAATGTAGTAGAACAAGTATGAATTTTTTTGTGGTTTCACTTCGTTTAGTCACATTTTCACTACATAAATTGAAATCAAAAGCAATTAACGATTTATTTTAATTCCAGTGGTTTGGATTCTCCCGATTTTAGTACTGTGGACTGTGGTAGATAAGTCAATGTCGAAGTAACCCGCTTAAGGTGCACTTTTGACAAAAATGTCCTACCAGTTGTAGTCTATATCTTCAACAACGGAAGGTTCAAATTACTATAAGTGAAATTAAGTTCCATCACTGTTACACAAACCACTGCCTGTTTTGACTCAAACTTATTGAGGGTTTGAAGCGGAAGTTATTAGGTTTGAGTCTCGGTGTGAACATCGATACTGTGTTCCAGGTATATCAAGCTGACGAGTAGTAAATAGTATAGATGCCCATCCTATTTTCTATTATCACTACTTTTCTTCAAAATGAAGATGACCATTTGAAACGAGCTGGATCACTAGTAAAGAGTGGAATTTTCTCTTTTATTTAATTAGATTATTTTACAGTCCAAGCATTCGAATAAATAAAATTTACTATGGGATAATAGCAGTTTAACGACTATTAAATCGTATAAGTGACCAATAATTCTTAGACTGCCTGTAAGTTTTTTATAGTTATTTTCAGTTAGACTTTAAATCAGGGTACTTATACAATAGACCAATTAGATTATTGAAGAAGTAGTCAAACCTAATTGGGAATGAAGAGTAGGTGAAAAGAATACCACCTAGAAGATACATACTTTTACATAAAGATGAAGTCATTTGCAGTCAACTTTGTTGCCTTAAATTTACTTCTGGATTTTAGTCAGCTGATGAGAAATATGCGATATCATAGTGTTTTAAAACTTCTAATCACGAAACTGAACGGTTACATTTCAAATCTGCTTAGAAGATACTCAGTCAATAATGCACCGTTAAGTTGTGGGAAATTGCTTGTTCTTCAATTATTTTAAGTCGTGTATTTCTGCCGATCTTGTTAGAATATTAAATGGCTGATTGATAGGAACACAAATACCTTACAAGCGATGCCAGATTTTGATTGAATAACTGAGTGATTGATGCTAATATTAGGCAAAGAGATCCAAAATGGGTTGATGAAACTGTAAGCATTTATTGAAAAACGATAGCATAACTTACGTTACATTTACTCTTCTAACTACTACTTTAAAGTGGTATGTTAAACAGTATTAGAGGAAATTAAAAAAGACTAGAGGTAGACATAAAATATATCACATATGAATTGTAATTTTGATAATTGAGATCATGAATCAATTGAAGCTATACCACCATGGAAAACCTGGAAGCACTGAACGTCCAAAGCTTCCAGGTTTTCCATTGTGGTCTATCTTCAATTGATTCATGATTTCAACTATATAAAAGAATATGAATCAATCAGCCTAATAAAACCCTAGTTGAAAACTATCCTCTTTTATTGATATTAGTTTCTGTTACATTAAATATCTTGTACGAAAATCAACTATTTAACAGGTCAATATCAAGTTAATTACAATTGTAACACAGTATTAATTTATTAGGCTAGCTTATTATTATTATTATTACTATATAAACATGATATACATTTTCTTTCAGAAACTTACTACTTGTTTTCATACTTTCATTTACTAACAATAACTAAAATACCTAAACGCATCATGTTTCCCCCTCTATTTTTCAGAAAAATAAACAAATTATTGATTTGATTATTATTATTGTTGTTGTTTATTCCGCTCTTATTCCTCCCACTCATTTTTTATAACAAACAAATCAAATAACTATATTTCCGATAGAATATTGCTATCCATAGAGTGATTGACCTCGAAAGCTTATTGGTTCATTTTAACAGTTAGTTAGTTTGCCTAACAAGTAATTGGGCTGTGGTCTGATTTTTAGTTCTATCATTACGTGGTATAGAAATTGTTACCCACGTTAAATCAAGTTAGCTATTTTATTTGACCAATGTAGTTTTGAAACCGTTTGAAACCACACTAAATACTTTGTGCACTAATAATCGTCTGGAGATTTATGTTTAAGAATTATGATACTTTTCAAGACAAATAAATTTTTGGGAAATATATTTTAAAAATGTCATTAGCTGATGTCTGATACTAGTCATCAGAATTCAGAGCTAAAGACGTCAACTGGGCACAGTGGATCAGAATCAACGATATCATCAGATATTAATACAGAGCCTAGGACTTCGACTAGTCCACGCCCTCATGTTTCTACGTGGGTGTATATCAAATGGTTCATATGGTCTACAATTGCAAGTATTTTTGGATGTAGTATCCCTGTCTTTACACCATATGACAATACTTGGCCAACTACATCAATTCTAATTGATCATAATAAATTTGAATCTGATGATTCAAATCTACATGAGAATATTGATGACGCATATAATACACAAGTATTACATGAAGTGAATGGTGTATGTACGACGAAAAATGCCGTTTCTTGTCTTTCATCAACTTGTGATTTTGAAGTGGATGTAAAAACAGAGACAAAAAAACTTGCACTTTCTTTTCAAAATCATATTCTTGAAAATGAAATAAAATTGGATTCTTCTTTTAAAGACGTTACTGATAATAATAATAATAACGAAAATAATAATAGTTATAATAATATATCATCATTAGCAAATGGATATTTTTGTGATATTAACCAAACATTAAATTGTAAACCTTTAACTGATACGGAAGTAATTCCAATTTCTACAGCATTATTTACTGATCCTGGATATTTATGTACCGAATCTAGTCCTGTAACATTTACCTTATTGGATTCATATCAGTCGGATTCAGTGAATGGTTTTATTGATAAGGTAACTCGTGATAATTATGTTCATAATTTATTAAACTCTGTATTACCACGTAATTTATCTAATTCAAGTGATATAAGTGTACCAGTTGAAGCACGTAAAATGTACGCATGGAATAAGCCAACACCAATTAAGTCAGAAACACCCATTGACAATCATGTAACTGAATATAATTTTGAAGTAGGATCAATATTATCAGATGATATAAATGCATCACCTGGACAACTTAATTCATCCGATCATTCTTACCCACTTTTGAGTCCTAATACACTGGAAGACGATAGTTTACAAGCTGAATGTTTTGATAAATCACCTGAAATAGATTTAAATTTACCAGATGTTAGTCGATCAGATCAGACATTGGCATGGGCAATGTCGAATCTCTGTATTGATAATACAATTAATGAAATAGATACTGATTCAAATGAGATTTTATCAAATAAGCAAACGGAAGACCTATCACCCTCCAGTGAAACAGTTAGCTTCATTGAAAAAGTAGATAAAAGTTCCAATATATCTTCTCGACCTCCTGTGCCGAATTCCTTACAACGACCTAGCAGAGATCGTAGCCCTCTCTATCATACAAATATTAACAACAATCGAAAAAAGAATTCAGCAGATTTGTCAACCTTCTTACCATTTGAAGGTAATCAAGCATTCTCAGTAAATGATATAGTTGAAACCCCTGAAACTACTAAACCAAAACGTAGTAGTTCACTAAAATCCAATAGAAGCCTTTCAGACACATATGTACCAAAAGCTGTTCGTTTTGCTGATGCTCTAGGACTTGATTTAGCGACTGAACGACATGTATATGATTCTGAAGCTCCACCAAAAATACCAGCTTCTGCTATATCACATTTGCAATTAGATTCTGATGAATCCATTGCAAAAATTGGTGCAAAACAATTTGGTTTATGTTTCTCACAACCAGGTTTAGCATCTAATTTTATTCGTCGAGTACTTACCAGTAATGTATGCCTAGAAGATTGTCATATTGATATGCAACGTTGTATATTAACTGGTACAATAAGAGTTAAAAGTTTTGGTTATGAGAAACATGTTACTGTTCGCATTACATATAACAACTGGATTACGTTTTTCGATACATCTGCATCATACATTCAAGGATCATATGATGGTGTAACGGATAAATTTTCATTTAGTTTAATCTTTCCTGATACAATGGTACCAGGTGATAAAGCACAATTTGCTATACGATATGAAACACATACTGGTGAACAATTTTGGGATAATAATCATGGTCAAAATTACTGTGTAACATGTTATGCGAAAGCCACGGATCTAGCTGGTGATGGATCATGGATGCATTATCTTTGATTTTCGTGTTTTCAAATTGTGATGAACACTGTTAAAATTATTTATCCAATTTTGATTGTTCCACATTCAAACTATCATTTAATAACTTTAGTTTGTCTTAACCTTTTTTTCATGCATACATACATACACGCGTGTGGACAAAAAATTGGTCCTTTAAAAAACTATATATCATCGCGCCAATCATTCATTACTCAAGAAACTCCAGTTAGCTTTCATATATATATATATATATATATTATTATTATTATAATTAATTAAACTGCCTTACATTCAAGATTCATCTTCATATTAGTCAGTGCACACAATTAGTCTTTCATCGGGATTTACTTTTCATTATGTTTCTTTTGAAATTTTCATTCTTAAATTTAGAATTTCAAGTTAACAATAAAATATTCTCTTATCATCCCCGATTTAATATGTATTTACAGAACCTTAAAATATAAAAAAGTGATTTTCCCCTATACAGAACACGTTCAGGTGAGGTGTAATGTTTTTGATCGGAAGTGAGATATTTATGGTGATCAACTGCCTTTGAATCCTATGTATTACGATAATAATATTAATCATTACTATTAACTATTATTAACAAGAGAAACATTGTTATCGATAATGTTTGTCTAATTTGCTGTAAATAGCTGATAGATCGACCAGAAAAGAAATAAACTTGCTGAAATTTAAATGTTTTCGGTCTTTAACATGATTGATTATCGGGTAAATTGGATGGGTTGTTATTATTCGAAAGAAGTAGTTCTTCATGATGATTCCTACAATAACATGTAGATAATTAAATGATAATTTGGTAAGGGGGGTTTCGGTGGAGATTTGAAATAATTTTTATGTATAGTTGAAATCGTGAGTCAGTTGAAGCTAGACCACCGTAGAAAACCCGGAAGCACTGGACGACCTTTTCGTCTTGTTGTGGGAATCCTCAGCAGTGCGCATCGACGATCCCGCCTAGCCAGATTCAAACCCAGGACCTACCAGTTTCGCGCCAGAGCACTTAACCGATAGACCACTGAGCCATCATCCAACGGTGTCCTGGTTTCGAATCTCACGAGGCGGGATGGTGGATGTGCACTACTGGGGAGTCCCATAATAGGATGAAACGGCCGTCCAGTGCTTCCAGGTTTTCCATGGTGGTCTAGCTTCAATTGACTCATGATTTCAACTATACATAAAAATTACATAAAATCTCCACAGAAAATCCCCTTATCATATGCTCACTAGTGACTGGCTCCATGAGGTATTTCCTGGAGTTCTAGTGAGAAGCAGTAACCAATGGAGTTCAACCAGGTCTGTTGGGAGATATCAACTCACTGAAGACAACGGTGGATGTGTCTATCAATTTTGTGGATCGGTTGAAGTTAGACATTAACACCGTTGTATGTCGGCCGGCTCAGTGGTCTATCGGTGAAGTGCTGCGGTGCGAGATTGATAGGTCCTAGGTTGGAATCTCGCGAGACGGGATCGTGGATGCACACTGCTGAGGAGTCCCACGATAAGTTGATTAGTTAATTTTTCTACATGTTCACTAGAATATATATGATATATTTTACTGAAATGACGTAATCTTAATTTCGATTTAACTTTAGTAAATATTTTAACAATTTAAAATCTGTTGCCATTAGAAGAAGTTATGTTACGGAATGACTATTTTTCTTTAAAACTGTAAGGAAATATAAGAATCTTGTATAATTTTTTGTAGCATAAATCACTTATTTTGTGAGAGGTATTTTTTCCAGCAATAATTTGTACCATTTGCAAGCGTTCATATCTTCCCAATTCACATATAGCTGATAAGTTACAAATAGGGAGAAATGTGTACCCTGGATTCCACTAATTACCACCATCTGACTTCACTAATATGACTGATAGCATTCACCTCAGCTGATAGGTTATAAATTTTAACATAAAACTATATCTTTCTTTTAATAATCTACATAAATATCACTAGGTTAATTGTCATCTTGTTACAATATTTTATTAATTGTACATTTTTTGGCAATGCTATTCACACACAAATACAGTTATACTTACAGTCATTCAAACTATCTTTCAGATTGTAAGCAAAGATGGATAGTGGCTAGCAGTGGAATCCAGGATGTGTTTCGTCCTAATCGAGACTCGTCAGCTGGATGTACCTGCAACTCAGAGTTGATGTTCACTCTGGGACTCGAACCCAGTACCTTTCGCTTCAAACGCCATCGCGTTATCCACTCAGCTACTGAGTCCTGATAGCCACTTGCTGGTGCAATGGATTGAAGTTTGAATTCACTTAGTATTGCTTGTTTGAATCTTCACATTGATGTTTAAGACTGCAATTGATCAGTCTCTAATTGGCATATGTGCATACTTTGTGCATTGCCTCGATATAGCCTTAATTCATAAGCATTATAAGCAAAGTCCCAGAGTGAAAATCAATTCTGAGATGCAGTTACATTCAGCTGACGAGTCCCAAGTAGGACGAAACGCGCGTCCTGGATTCCACTGCAAGCCACTGTCCATCTTTACCTATAATGCTTGTGAATTAAGGCTATATCGAGGCAATACGCACAGTATGCACATATGCCAATTAGAGACTGACCAGTTGCAGTCCTAAACATCAATCGGAAGTTTCAAACCAGTAATACTAAGTGAATTTATCTTTAAATTTTTTGCACTGATGATAGTGATCAACATGAACAATGAAGAAACGGACATTTTCATGCCTTGACACGCTTTATTCGGAGGTTAATGTTCCTGGAGTGAGTTCAATCAGCGTTGAACTGTTTTATTGCTATCCTATGAAGTGACTGGACTTATAAATGTGGACCAAATGGTTCCTAGTTAAATGGTCTAAATGAATTATGATATAAAGGAAAGATTAAACGTCTGAGATTTATTTTCGTATAGGGTCATGAAAGTCCATTGTTGACAAGTTATAATTTAGGATAAACTCACTGTCCATGGTTCCTTTGTTTTTAATGATTTTCCAAATATTGTAAATACATACTCCAAGATGAAAAATACTTTCCTTACTAGCAAAAGCTTTACGGAAAGCACTAAGATAAAATTGGTCAGATAATTTTCTAGTTGTATCGCACATTGATTGTATTTGCAATTATACTACTGATCGTTGACTTGGTGGTTCTGATGACTAAGCATTTTCTGCAAGGTTTGAAGGTTCTCAGTCCCATTCTTAGTACGGTCGTGAGTATGTACTTTTAGATTGTTTCAAACTAGGACATTGTATTGTTTTCTGTTGTATTCCATTTCAAATCAATATAGTATAAATACAATCTATAAATCTTTCAACAATTAAACACACGATTTTTATAACTGAGATAAGATTGTAAGACCAATATTAAACACCAAAGCAGAATAAAAGGAATTCATACTAGTTGGCATCAGCATTTTATAATTGAAATTTTTAAAAAAAAATTAAAATTCCTATCAGAATTCATCCTTTTAATAAATTATTGAGAATAAATGACATAAATACAATTTATTCACAACTGATGAAGTGAATTCTGCTTCGGTTTAGGCACCCGGACAGTATCACAGCCCTCATGTGATTTGTGTGGCGCATATATATCTGGTACCCCTTTGTACCAATATTTATGTGTTTAAATAAATTAAAAAAAAATAATTGAAGTGAATAAATTAATACCAATACCCAAAAAACGATTACGAACGCTACTAGGAGTCATTGCATAACTATTGAGGACTCAAAAGAGAGGTAAAAATAAATAAAAGAGTCTACCCAAATAAAAATAAAAACAAAAAGACAAAAGAATGGGTTGTGAGAGTTATGTAATGGTTCTGAGTAAGCAGTGCAGAAACAGCTATTCCACCCCGATAGTTGTGCCGTGTAGCACTCTTCACCAAAAGGGCCTACTAGGCTTCACCATTCTATATGGTTGGAAGGAGTACCAGGGGGATAGTTAAAACTGTACACAAAGACAAAACTGGTCTACCATTATTAACTGACTTTTAATACAAAAAATTTGTCAATTCAGTTAATAGTTAACTTACATTAACTTGAAAAAAATGTGAAAAAAGGGATTAAATAGTAAAATCATTAATTGAAAAAAGTAATTAAAACAAAGTATAAAAATAATCATATTATGTAATCAAAACAATTTTATAATTGCAGACATAAAATTACTTCACTTTCCGGTATGATGTGAATTAATAAAAAAATGAATAATATAGGGATGAATTTAGTCGAAAAGAATGTCATGGAAAAAAGAATTAAAATCTAGGCTGAATCATTTAAATGAATGAATTTTGAGTTAGAAACAAAATGTAAGTGATTAATTAATCACCTTTATACATTACTTAACTTATTTTTTAACTTATGGAGACTTGCTTAAACATTAAAAGTGTTCTATGTTTAGCAACTGCATTTTAAACTTGGGTCTCTGATCTATAGTTTTTTACCGAAATTTTGTTGTATATAACTTAATAATGAACAGTGAAATTCAGTTAAATCATTTTATACTGTAAAATTTGTCAGTTCGATTTCACTTCAAAGCTGTTTGTTCAGTGCCCTATGATTTCGTTCGTGGTAAAGTATTTTCTGTTTTATATTGTAATAGAGTGATATAACTCTTAGAGATAAAGTGTAACTATAAATGTAGAAATACAGTCAACTTTTTTTTTGCTTTATTGACAGAAACCAATTTTTCCTCAAAATGCACCACTGAAACTCAACATATTTGACCCAGTAACGTTTATGTAACAAGTGTGAATAAATACTTGCAACCTTCATGCATGAGTGATTTTAAAAAGATCACTTTTATTCAATGTACAATAAAGAATTGTAAATTATTTCAGTTGACAGGAAAGATGACATTTGAACCTCAAAGAAACTGACGTTATTGACGAATGTCAATCAATGTGTTCGTATTCAACAGCGAATTTCTTTCAGTGATGAAACTATCTGTATAACTGAAGTGATACTCGACATTTTATGGTTAAAATACAAAATCAACACAACTAAGAAATATTGGCCTCAA